CGGTTGCGGCGGCGGCGGCGGCGTGGCGGCGACGGCGGCGGCGGGCGGCGGCGGCGGCGGCGGCGGAGGCAGCGGCGGCGGCGGCGGCTTGGCCCCCAGTAGCTACCTATCCAAAGACGACTGCTGAATATGCTGAGGCTCGGGCCAGACTCGGGTGCTACGTATGTGTTGGGAGGGCGGGTGGGAGTGAGCGAGACGGCTTGCGGGCGGGGAGGGGGTCTTGATCCCTCCCCCTACCCCCTCCCCTGGACCTGGACGGGGCGTTCCGCGAGTCGTCGGAGCGTCCAAAACGGCCTCGGCGAGGAAGTCAACATCATTTGTTTTACTGCGGTTTTGGCACCGTTTTGGCCTCTTGAGACGCTCCAAGAGGCCTCGGCGACATTGCCAAAATCACGGCGTTTACTAAGGTTCTGGCTATATATTGGCCTCCTGGGGGGGTGCGCTGCTTAAGATGACTCCAGTAGCGCCTGGAAGAGCCCAAGATGACCTCCAAGATGGCTCAAGATATCCCAAGATGCCTCAAGATGGCTCCCACGATGCTCCAAGAGGCCCCAAGACCGCTCCAAGACGGCTCCAAGTGGCCAAGGAGCTCCCCCAGGAGGCCCCGAAGAGGCCAAAATCCCCCCAAAACCTGAAGAACATCAATGTTTGTGGCCTTCTCGCCTTTTCGCTTCCGATGGCCATCCGAGGCCTCAAGATGGCTCCAAGATGGCCCAAGAGAAATTCCAAGAGCGGGCCCAAGGCTCCCGAGAGCGCTTCAAGAGGGCCAGGAGGCCCCAGGAGGCCCCAAGAGACCCCCAAGAGGCCCCAAGAAGCTCTCCGAGGCACCCAAGACGCTCTAAGAGGCGTCCGGGACCGCCAAGAGACCCTCAAGACGCTCCAAGAGGCCTCCACTGGGGGACCCTTCCTCTGTGTGCTGCCCACTTCCCTGATCGAGGCAATTCCTCTGGGCATCGTTTCTGGATGGGCTAGAGGGGTTCGCGGGGTTCTCCTCTTTTCGGCGTCCCGACGCTCCAAGACAGCGGTCTTCTGGGCGTCCGAAGCCGCCTCGGAGGCTCGAACATCGCCGCACAACCATCCGAAAAGACTTCCAGGCAGTCCAGGAAAGCCCCAAGACGGCACAACAGGGTTCCAAGATGGCCTAAGCGAGCCCCATGACGGCCCAAGATGGCCCCACGACACCCTCCGACGCATTCCAAATCGTGACCCGGTCGTTCAGTGAGACCGCTCGCGGTTGGAGGCAGGGTGGCCCGAGGAAGCCCCCAGAGGCCCGCAGATGGCGCCCAGGAGGCCTCCAGAAGGCCTTAAGAAAGCATGACAAAAACTGTTGTGAGGCCCCCAGAGGCTCTCCAAAGAGAAGCCTCTACAAAAAGAGCTGAGGAGGATGTGGAGAATGCGCAGGGTATTGCGAGAATGAATAAGGAAAGAGCATGGAGGAAGGATAACGATTAACATTATCATAACGGCGATGCCGGAAAAGGCAACAATGAATTATCGCTAAACTGTCGGCTTGACCTTCCTGCCATTCCGCCTGCATACCAAGACTTCAAGGTGCATAGCGCGAAGCGCCACTCTTGAAGACATATATATATATACATATGTATATACATATACATGTATATATGTATATATACATATATTCCTTCTACCTATCAAATTACAAGGAAAAACCCGGCATGTCACCGACACCCCCCCCCACATGGACCCCAGATGAACCCCACAGGCCCCCAAGAGAGCCCCACAATGCTTCGAGGCGGCCCAAAATGCCCCGAAGAGAGCGACACGAGGCCTACATCGGGAGCCCAAGACAGCAGAAGGCACTTCCCAGACGTCCTCTGCAAGGCCCAAGAGGCCCCAAGACGGCCCCAGAGTGCTCCAACAGGACCAAACATGGGCTCAAGACGGCCCAGGATGCCCCCGCAAAGACCTCCAATACGGCCTCAGCAGGCCAAAAACCTTAATTTTCCGTTGGTTTTTGAACGACTCTGTGCTTCTCGCCTTTTCTGGCCACGAACGGCCCAAGAATGGTCTGCGAGCTTCGAGGTCGCCCCGAAATGGCCTCCAGGCGGCCCAATGGGGCCCCAAGATGGGCCAATAAAGCGCCAAGAAAGGCAGGGAGCGCCCAAAAGACCCCTAAAAGACCTCCAAGAGGGCCCCAACAGAGCCACGGGATGCTTCAGAGAGGGCCCGAGAGAGCCCCAACACGGCCCCAGGACGGCCCAAGCCCCCCCAGACAGCCCACGAGGGCCCCAGGACAGCCCAAGAAGGCCCTCCGATGGTATACAAAAGCGCCAACAGGAGCTCCACTCAGTCTTAGAGCCGTCAAATTCATTACACTCTGATTGACCTGAGCCGTCGTCCTTGGCTCGGCTGGCCGCGCGCCGAATGGGCCCGCGTGGCAGAGAAGGAAAAGGAGCAGGAGGCGGGACGGAGGAGAAAAAGGAGGAAGAGGAAGGAACGGTGAGGATTGCGAGAAACAGGAGGGGCCCCAGGAAGACGGAAGGAGGGCAAGGAGGAGCAGGAGGAGGGGAGGGCAAACGGCGGAAACAGAAGACAGCTTTCACTGGGCCCCGTGCTCTCGCCGAGGCGCCGGCCACATCTCTCATTCAATATCGTGTTGCCGCTTCGCTCGCGGGACTCCCAGCCTCTACCAGGTCAGCATCCCGTCCTCCAGCATGCGGCCGCCGACTTTCCTCTCAATTCTTGACGCTTCGCGTATACCCACCTTGAGTCTGAGTTAGTCGCTCACGCTCGCCCTCTCCTCCTCTCTTGCCACCTGTGTCGCTTGTGGTTTGGCTGGAGCTTGGCGCCGAAACGGCGACTTCTCCCCGCCGTCCCGCCGCCGGTCGCCGCGCCTTGGCGTCCCCACCCGCTGGGATGTCTGTGCCGGTCTCCTGGCGCTTAATGTGGGTCATTTTGTCCCTTGCATGTGCATACGCCTCTGCGGCCAATTATCTTGGTTCCGCGCCCCGAACGCTACCCCGCTTCTTGACCTTCGCCAGGGAGCCGCCAACCAAAAAAAGTATCCTCACCTTGATCACCTGGTCGCGCTGTACGCGTCCTCGCTTGTGGCTGGCTGGAGCTTGGCGCCTAAAGGGCGACTTCCCCCCGCCGTCCCGCCACCGGTCGCCGCGCCTTGGCGTCCCCACCCGCCGGGATGTCTTCGCCGGTCATTGGCGTCTAATGTGGGTCATTTTGTCCCTTGCATGTGCATACGCCACTGCGGCCAATTATCTTCGTTCTGCGCCCCGAACGTTGCCCCGCTTCTTGACCTTCGCCAGGGAGCCGCCGACCAAAAAAGTATCCCCACCAGCCCGTCCAGAATTGATTGCCAGCTTTCCCGAGGCCTGTTGGAGGCTATCCTGAGCCATGCTCGGCTAGAGTCTGTCGGAAGCTATTCTGAGCCATGCTCGGCTATGTCGGGCCATATTCAGGCTTTCTTGAGGCCTCTTGGAGATCTGTCGGAGGCTATCTTGAGCCATGCTTGGCTATCTTGGGCCATTTCGGAGGCCATCTTGGGCTATCTAGGGCTCTCTTGGAGCCATCTTGGGCCAAAAAGGGCGGGGTGGAGAATCTTCAGGAGAGGCTGGGAGGCCTCTCGGGGCCGTCTTGGGCCCCATTGTTCAAAAAGAGCGGGGGTCCTCAATTCAGGTCCCCCCCTCGGAGGCTCTCAAACGGCGTCTTGGGGACGTGTTGGAGCGCTCTTTGGAAGCCTCTTGGGCGATCTTGGGGCCGTCTTGGGCCTTCTTGGGCCCCTCTTGGGGCTCTTTTGGGCCATATTGGGGCCATCTTGATGCCTCAGGGGCCCATCGGAAGCGAAAAGACGAGAATGCCAAACACATGGACTTTCCTTAAGCTTTTGAAGGGTTCTGGCTTCTTGGAGGGCGCCGTGGAGGGCTCGAAGGGCACTTGGATCCGTCTTGAGGACTCTTGGAGGTGTGTCGGAGGCTATATTGACCCATCTTGAGGTATCTTGGGCCATCTTGGAGGCCATCTTGCGACTTGGAGCGCCTCTTGGAGCCATCTTGAGCCGTCTTGGACGCTCTAACGCCTCCATCCCCCCCCCTCCAGGCCCAGGGGAAGGTTACCCCTCCCCCGAGCAGGGGAAGGAAGGGGAAGAGAGAAGACCAAACTCGCTATACCACCGTAGCCCTAAAGGGCTGGTGGAACTTCCACCTATAGACTTCCAGCCTCCATCAGCTCAGCACTCGACCTCTAGCGTCCGGCATCCGACTTTCCACCTTCACCTCCACTCAAGCGTCCACCAACGCTGCGCCCTGAGCCCCGCCCCGGGCGCTACCGCGCACTCGCCTCGCCTCGCCTCCGCTCGCACAATTCCCACACACCTCATTGAACAATTGTGTTCTCGCCCGCGCCCAGAAACATCGTAGGTGCAAGGATCAATATTAGAAGGCGAAGCGCAGCGAGCCTTAAAATCTTGTATATATATGTATGTATAGCAGTCTCCGCCCCCCCCCCCCCACGAACCAGGCGACGTTGGAGACGGGTATCAGTCTCCGTCCCCCCCCACGAACCAGGCGACGTTGGGGACGGGGACGGGGACGAAGGGGGGGAGAAGGCTGGGAGAGGAGGGAGAGGAGAGGGAGAGGAGAGGGAGAGGAGAGGGAGGAGGAACGCGAGGGAGGGAAAGAGGATGAGGACCCTGGCTCTTCTCGTCCTGCCTTGTCCACGTCGTGTCGGCTTCGTGCATCCTCTTGCTTTGTCACGGTTCGTGTGCAATGCACGTGCTTCCGCAAGTTGTACTGTGATGTATGCAGCTGCCATCGTCATCACACATATATATAAACACACGCTGGTACGAATCAATAGAACTATCAGTGACCTCATGTAGATGTTGTTCTTACATTTGCACAACTCATGCACTTAGCCTTGTCTTCAGTCTTGTTATTTGAAGCGTTGCTGGTGTGTATGTGTGTGTCGACAATAGCGCCTCGTACAGTGTACGCACCCGAGCCATTTTTTGGTATCGGACCCAGAGCTCAGTACTCCATGAGTGCCAACTCCATCTTGCGAACCTCACCCACCAAGAGCCTCGTGAGGAGGAGCACGACCTCGAAGCGGCACAGGTCGTCGTGGTGGGGCAGGTTCGCATCGGAGGCGGCCAGCTGAAACCTGAGACCGACAAACAATGTCTCCAAGGCTGCACCGCGCGACGCCACCGAAGCAGACAGGCCGTGCGCTTGCGCGGCCGGGGCGTCCTCGTCCTCCAGCACCTGCGACAGGAGCCTGGTCAGCCGGCGGCGCACCGGATGCCCCCCACCCTGCGGCTCCGTCAGGATGGCCTCCAGAGACTGGGGCGCCCCCGCACCTCTCCCCCCCCGCTCCGCGGCCCTCGAAGACCAGGGCTGGGCGGGCGCGGGGAAGCTCTGGCCGTGCTGCGTCACGAACGCGGCGAGGGCCTCGACTCCGCGGAGCATGCCTGGGTGAAGAAAAACGCCCGCACAAGCAGAAGTTTTCGGAGGTCCGCGCGGATTTCTTGGCCTCGCCAGGACATCCGCGCGGACCTCCGAAAACTCATGCTTATGCCGTTTGTGTTCTTCCTCGAATGCCGTCGACATTCCGCCGCAGGCGGGAGAACAGCAGGCGGAGGGCGTCGTCCAGAGCCTGGTTCGGCGCGAGCTGCGCGGCGTCCATGGCGACGGGGCTGGACTGGAGATCGTTGTTTCTAGTTTGGCGATAACCTGGACTATCCGGTGTGGTGAATGGGGAGGGGCCAGCCGATAACCTGACCTTTTCGCGTTGGGCAGCGCCACGCGTGCCCGCGCGCACCACTGCTGCGTCCCCCGTCTGGACCTGCGCAGCCGGCAAGGCCAGGCTATCCGCAAGACGAAGCTAGGACGAGGATAACACTGGGCGAGGATGAATCGAGAATGAATCTCTGAGATCTGGCGGGTCTGGGAGATGTATCGGGCGCCGCGGCCTTCTCAGAGCGCTCTGGGGAACGCTCTCAGGGCCTTCTCAGCACGTTCTGCGACGGACTTATACCCGTCCTAGCTCCGGCGGCTGGAAAGGGGTGTGGCGCAAAGGGGTGTGGTGCCCATCCTGGCAACGGCAGTGCTGTCTACGATAGGTAGGCTAAGTAGCCTCGTCCGAACCCTGGGGGCTGGGCGGGCAGGAGGAGGAGGAGGAGGAGGAGGAGGAGGAGGAGGTAGAGGCGGAGGAGGAGGAGGAGGAGGAGGAGGTAGAGGAGGAGGAGGAGGAGGAGGGAGGAGGAGGAGGACGAGGAGGAAGAGGAGGAGGAGGAATGCAAAGCAGTCTCCTCGTCACCGCGGCACGGCCACGAGGCGGGGCCCGCCTGCGCGGCCGGGGCGGCGCGCCGGTGCGACCGGATGCGCGCGGCCCACTCGATGTCCGCGACGTGGCCCGCGACGGCCCGCAGGCGCGCCTCGAGCCATCGCTCGGACGTCCATTTCCCGTGCATTTTTCGGTATCGTGCGTGTTTTTCTTTGCTCGATGGTCCAGGATCGTCCTCAACGGTTCTCGCCGAGAAAAAGTGCACACGTCCGAGCGATGCCAGGGCCTCGAGCTCCTCGTAGAGCTCCGTCTTGAAAGGCTCCCCGCCGTAGACGGGCTCCTCTGAGGGCGTTTCTTTCTTTTCGGCGATCCTGGGCATGATAGGGGTGGGGGGGGGCAGGGGGAGGGGGGGGGGGAACTACAGTGTAACGCCCCCCCCCCCGCCGTGCGCACGGTGGCAGTGCCCAGAGCGCACTGCGGGGGGAGGGGCGTTACGTTATAGGGGGGGGCCGGGGGCTATAATGCCCATTGTGCCCCAAGCAATAAAGAAGCACGGTCTTTCAAAGGCCAGGATCATCAGGTCCGGGGGTGGTCAGGGGCAGCCCAAGCTGGAGTTGCCCCAGACCGGAGTTATCCCGGATGATTCGGGCGCCCAGCCGCTCCCGAATCATCGGGGCTGGGGGTGGTCACGGGCAGCTCCTGGTTCGTGCCGCGGGGGCCCAAGCTGGAGTTGTCCCGGACCGGAGTTACCCCAACGAACTCGGGCGTCCAATCCTTGGCGGCGTGCGGGATCAGGCCGCGGAGGGCGTCCAGGTCGCCGAGGAAGTCGGCGAAGCGCTTGATGCAGAGCTCCGTGCTGGCTGCGCTGCCCGCGGCATCGCCGAGCAGCTCCGCAAGCTCCCTGGCGCGCCGGAAAGAGATCTGCAGGCGCTGCCGAGCTTGCTTCGAGGCTTTGGAGGCCGCTAGCAAGTCAACAACGGTGAGGATTGCAACGCCGATCACGACCTCCTGGATGGTAACGATGAGATTCTGCTCGAGTTCGCCGGACGATTGCGTCTCCCGTGAGAGCGTGCCCATGTCCGGGATCATTGACTGCGCCGCATAAGCAACGCTGAGGCAGGACACATAGGAATGCTCGCTGACATGGAAATACATGTAGCAGAGGACGGCGACCACAATCCACATGGCAAAAGCAAAACAAATTCGTCGACCTTTTCGGATTCCCTCGGCGTGTGAGATGATTGCCGTGCTCCTACTTGGCTCCAACAAAAGTTTCCTTGGAAACTCGCACGAGGAATAATATGTATGTAAACCCGTCGGCAAGATGAAAGGTCGCGCGCGCGTGCTCAGCGTTCGCACGCACGCGATCCCAAGACGTCCCATGGCCACAACATGTTTCCAGGAATGCCTCAGGCCACGGACGATAACGTCCAGAGGACCCAGGATGATGCCACCCCAACGCGATCCCGCCATGGATTCTGGACCGTGTCAGGCCGACTTGCAGATGACGCAACACATGAGCAACGCATGACGCCGAGATGGCCCGATGGCAACAAGATGGATCCAAGCGCACCCAGGGTGGCCTCATAATGACCACGCGATGGTTGCGTGATCCAAACATGACCGGGATATGATCTCAAGATGACCTGAAGACGACCCCAACACGGCAATAATACTGCAATTTATGAGCCCCATCTTACTTCGAGCCGATCCCAGCATGGTGGGATCCGTGAACGACCCGGGATTTTGGTCTACCCCATTTTTAATGGGTGGGATTTTGATCGTCCTGAACTAAACTTATAATATTAAAACGGAATAAGCGAGGCGGGATCCCGCCCGGCCCACGGAGGAAGACAACAGTGCTAGGCTTCTACGGGGGGTAGGGGGTTCGGAAGGGGCGTCGTCTAATTCCGCTGACATTGGCAAGCCTTCCAGCGGCCTTCCCCCGTCTTCCGCCTCGTTTTACTTCCGTCGACTTCCGCCGGCCAGCGTCGTGATGAAAATTCAAAGAACTTTCATTGGGCCGATGTAATCTTTCCACCGGGAGCCCAGTTCTTCCGCTGTGGCGTGGGGGGTCCCAGGAAATGGTGCCGGCGGACTCGTTTGTTCCAGAAGTGCTCCCAGACGCGTTTCACTATTGCCACTGATGATCCATAGATGGTCCATGGGGGCTCAGAGGCGACCCACGATGGCACTGAGACGGCCCAAGATGGCTCCAAGACGATCCTGGATGCCCCTTGGACGGCCCAAGAGAGCTCCAAGAGAACTCCCTACGAAGACCTCGACTGGTCCAAATCACTAATTAGGGGTGTGTCTTCGCGATGCAAGTTTCGCGTTCCCGTCTGCTCTGGCTGCCGAAAGCCTGAGACGGCCCAAGACGCCCACCAGGCCTTCTCAAAGCGGTCCAAGAGGGGGCCCAAGAGGCCACCAAGACTGCCCAAGAGGGCCTCAAGGTGGCCCCAAGAGGCCGCCAAGACAAAAGCGGCCGTCGAGGGGATGAACAGAGGAGCAGCAGCAGGAGAGAGCAGCGAGAACAGGAGGGGCAGACAGAGCAGCAGGACAGACGCGCGCGCGACCTCTCTCCCTCCCGCCTTCCCGCCGCCCGCACGCGCCGGCTCAAACCCCGGCCCCGCCTCGGCCCCCCCCCCCCCCCAGCGCGCTCCCCCTTGGGGCGCGCGCGGGGCGGCCGCTGCGGCCCGCAGGAGGAGGACGGCGCGGCAGCAACGCCGTCCTCCGCGCTCTGTCGAGGGGGGGGAGCCGTCGCCAGGCCAGGGCTATGCCCTGCTCCGCCATGCCCTGCCCCAGGTTGGCGGAGCAGTCTTCCTCGAGCGCGCCAGCCCCGGGCGGTCGGAGGGGAGACATTTTCGGGAAGGTCGCGCGCGCCAGCGGCCAGGCGGCACGAGAGCGCACGGATGTGGCGTGAGCCCCAGAAGCCACGCCTAGGAGCGAAGCAGTCCAACAGTGTGATCCCTCATGCCACATTCGTGAACCGCTGCGTGATCGCCTCTTGAAATTGGGATCAAGTGGAGATGGGGGCCTTGGGGCTCCGTTTCTATCGGGCCAATACAATAATAAAAGCATCATCCGCGGGACCTCCCATGGGGGAGGGGATGAGGGGGCAGTCCCACTGGAGCCCACTGGAAACGCGCCCCAAAGCACAGGGACTGCCACGCGGCCGCCCCCCAAAGCCCTGCAATACGCCATCCCGCCACCGCGCTTGGGTTGTTTGTGAGAGGCTTCTTGGATACCTGTTGGGGCCTCTTGGCATTCTTCTCTGGCGCCTCTTGGAGGAACACCTGTGGAAAAGTCTTGGAGTCGTCTTGGGACCGACCTGGAAACATCCATGCGACCAAACGTTGGGCCGAAGTCTGGCCAAGCTACTGGCCTGTGAGCTCCCCCAGCCCTTGTGGAACCCCTGAGGGGAACACTTGGGAGAGGAAGAGAAAAGAGGAGGAGATGGAGGAGAAGGGGGAGGAGAAGGAGGAGGAGATGGAGGAGGAGGAGGAGGAGGAGGAGGAGGAAGAGGAGGAGGAAGAGGAGGAGGCCTCTTGAGGCCCTCGTGGCGCCTCCTGGGGGTTCCCTGGAAGCCTCTTGGGGGCCTCCTGGGGGTCTCTGAGAGCCTCTTGGTGACCTTTTGGCCTTCGGAGGCAGTCTTTGGGCCCTCTCTGGCCTCCTCCTCCTCCTCCTCCTCCTCCTCCTCCTCCTCCTCCTCCTCCTCCTCCTCCTCCTCCTCCTCCTCCTCCTCCTCCTCCTCCTCCCCCCCTCCTCCTTGAATCCCTTTCTGGGCGCTTTGGGTCAGTGTTGGTAGTCGTCGGGGCCGACGCGGGACCATCTTGTGGGCCTCTCCGGGGCGATCCTGGAGGCCAGTCGGGCCGCCTTGGGGAGCGCCGGCAGCCCGAAGGGGCGAGAACGCTAACACCGTGGAGGCACTCCAGGAGAATCTATGATTGGGGCCTCCCGGAGGTCCTCCAGGAGCCCTCCTTGATGGGCCTGTTTTCCACCACCGCCACCATAAGACGGAGGGGGAGGGGGTCCTCCTCCTCCTCCTCCTCCTCCTCCTCCTCCTCCTCCTTCTCCTCCTCCTCCTCTTCGTCCTCCACCTCCTCCCTCCTTCCAACTTATGGTGGTGGTGGTGGGGGAAAACAGGCCCATCACTGTTGTGGCGTCTTGAGGGCCTCCTGGGCTGTCTGGAGGACATCCTGGGCCGTCTTCGGTGCATCTTGGGCCGTCTAGTAGACATCTTGGTTCCATGTTTGGCCCCCTTTGGCCCATCTCAGCCGTCCTGGAGGCCATCTTGGCCGCATCGAAACCAGGTTGGGGCCATCTTGCACGGCAACACCGACGGGGGAGGCAATTTCCGGGTGCCCGGCGCGATCGGCCGAGACCCCCCTGGGAACCATTCAAAAGCACCAGCGCCTCTCAAACATTCAACACGCCGTGTACCCCTGTGGCAAGCCAACAGGGGGCGGTGGATCGAAGGCGCCTCTGGCGAATCACCGCTGCCCCCTTGCCTGTTGGAAGCGGCTGTGTGGCCGAACGTTGCGGCCAGAGCTGGCCAAACTACTATTGTACTATTATGTTCCCCCGGCCGTTGTGGAAACCCTGGGAAGAATAATAATAATAAGAAGAAGAAGAAGAAGAAGAGGCGGAGAGGGAGAACGAAGGAGGAGGAGAGGGAGGCCTCTTTGGCGATCTTGGGCGATCTTGAGGGCCTTTTGGGCCTTTGGGGAGCACATGGGGGAGAAAGAAGAAGAGGAGGAGAGGGAGGAGGAAGAAGGAGGAGGAGAGGGAGGAGGAAGAAGAGGAGAGGGAGGAGGAGGAGGAGGAGGAGGAGGAGGAGGAGGAGGAGGAGGCCTCTGGGGGCACTCTTGGGGGCCGGCGCATCAGGCCGAAGGCCCCCAGGGAACCTTCGAACATGATTCAAAAAACAACCCGAAATCGGGGCCCCGGGGGGGAGTCCTTTTCCTCCTCCCCCTCCTCCCCCTCCTCCTCCTCCTCCTCCTTCTCCTCCTCCTCCTCCTTATCTCCGCCTCCTCCTCCTCCTCCTCCTCCTCCTCCTCCTCCTGGTCGTCGTCGATGTCTTTCAGGGTCGGCGGCACCGGCTGTCAGGCCTTCACAATCTGGCACGCCGTCGAATCACCGACGCCCCCTGCCTGTTAGGATACGCCTATGTGGCAAAACGTTTGGGCAAAGTTTGGACCATGCGTTCCCACAGCCGTTGTGGAAGCCCTTCGGGGAACACGTGGAGGAGGAAGAGGAGGATGAGGAGAGGGAGGAAAAAGGAGGACGAGGAGGAGACCTCTTGGGAGCTTCTTGGGTCATTCTTGGGGTCTGCTGGGATTTTCCCGGGGGCCTCTTGGAAGCCTCTCAGGGCCTCCTGGGGACTCTCGGGGGCGTTTGGGAGCTTCTTGGGGGCCTCTTTGGCCATCTTACGGTGTTCCTGACCCGTCTGACGCCAGCGGAAGCCGTCTTGGGAGCCTCTCTCAGCCGTCTTGGGGCCCTCTTGGGGCGCTTCAGGGTCGTCTTGAAGGCCATCTTGGGCACCTTGGAAGCCTCTTGGGTAGTCTTGGGGCTCATTGGGAACCTCTTGGGCCGCCTTGTGCTATCTAGAGGCCATCTTGGGCCTTCTTGCGTGCATCTTGGGCCAGCAGCTTGGAGACATCTTGCAGCCCAGCCAGATAGGGGTTCTCTTGGGGCGTTCAAGATCCGTCTTGGAAGCCTTCTTGGGCGTCTTGGAGGCCTCTTAGGCCGTCTTGGGGCCCTCTTGGAGCCGTCCTGACCTCTTGGGCCGTCGTGGAGCCATCTTGGAGGCCTCTTGGCGATCTTGGGCGATCTTGGGGGCCTCTTGGGCCTTGCTGTTTTGTAATGAACGCCAGTACCCGTCAGAAGCATAATAAATCAATAGTTTGAACATCTTCAGTGGAGTCCTCTTGGACCGTCTTAGGGGCCTCTTGGGCGCCGTCTTGGGCTCTCTTTAACAATGTTGGCGGTCTTGAAAGCATATTGGGACCGTCTTGGAGACCATCTTGGGACTGTCTTGGGCTATTGGGCTCTCTTCGGGCCAACTTGGTTGTCTTGGAGGCATCTTGGAGGCCATCTTGGGCCATCCTAGCCGTCTTGGAGACCATCAAGGTCGTCTTGGAAAAATGTTTGGGGAATCATGGGGAATCTTCGGGCTCTTCGTGCACACTCAGTGGATCTTTCGCGGATTCATCCTTCTTGAACTTCGGACGGCCGCCCAGGACGGGCACATGGGCTCGAGATGGCGCAGAGACGGCCCAAAGACGGCTCAAGACGGCCCAAGGGGGCTCCAAGAGAACCTGGGCCCCCCAAGAGGCAAACAAGTTCTGTCCTCGCATAGGTTGTTGCATGATTTAGGCGAACTCGCCTACCCACTCTTCAGGCAAGAGGGCCCACTGTACACACCGAAAGTCGTTACAACACGGCGTAGAACATCCACGTAATGCCAGTACAGCCCAAGACGGGGCCAACACGGCACAAGAGGGCCCCGAATCGCTCAGAGAGGCCCCCTCCAGAGAGGCTCCAGACTGCCCAAGAAGATGGCCTCGAGACTGACCAATCGGCCACCCATGCCGCCCCAAGACAGCCCCTAAGAGACTCCTCAGACGGCACAGAGACCCCACGACGGCCCAAGAGGCCACCCAGAAGCCCAGGGGGGGCCCAAAAGAACGCCACGGAACTACCAACTAACAGAGCACATTGCTTGTCCGCTCGATGCTCCATGCTGTTGGCGCACAAGCCTTCTCCGCTCTTCAGAACGCCCAGGACAGCCAAACAGGGTCTCAATATCCTACCGCGACCGGCCCCAGGAGTGTGCCCAAGAAGGTGCCAAAACGGCCCAGGGGGGGGCTCGAGAACGCCACAAGAAATGTCGAGAGAGCCAAAGAAAGAAAAGAGAGAGAGAGAGAGAGCCAAAGAAAAAAAACTCAAGATGACAAAAAACGCCCGAGGGAGCCCAAGAGGGCCACAAGAATCATCGAGCGAGCCCCAGACGGCAACAGAAACGCCCCAGGACGGGCCCCAGTCGAGCCAAAGGCGGCCCCACGAGACCCCAGGAACGCATCCGAGGGCCGCGGCGCGGACCAGCAAGGCCCCGGGACAAGCCAAAAGACACCCTCTCGAAAATACGGCCCAAGCCAGCCCCGATAAGCCCCCCAAGGAAGGCCCCAGGACAGCCCACGAGATACCCCCAAAAAAAATACGGCCCACGCCCGCACCCAGAAACCACCCCAGGCGGCCCAGGAGCCAAGACAGCCCAAGAGATACCCCCCCAAAATACGGCCCAAGCCAGCCCCGAGAAACCTCACAGGCGGCCCAGGAGCCAAGACAGCCCAAGAGATACCCCCCCAAAATACGGCCGAGGCCAGCCCCGAGAACCCCCCCAGGCAGCACATGAGCCAAGACAACCCAAGAAATACCCCTCCAAATGCGGCCCAAGCCAGCCCCGAGAAACCACCCAGGCGGCCCAGGAGCCAAGACAGCCCAAACGACACCACCCAAATGCGGCCCAAGCCAGCCCCGAGAACCCCTCCAGGCGGCCCAGGAGCCAAGACAGCCCAAAAGATACCCCCCAAATGCGGCCCAAGCCAGCCCCGATAACCCCCCCAGGCAGCCCAGGAGCCAAGACAGTCCAAGAGATAACACCCCCAAATACGGCCCAAGCCAGCCCCGAGAAACCCCCCAGGCGGCCCAGGAGCCAAGACAGCCCAAGAGATAACCCTAAAAAAACGGCCAAGCCAGCCCCGAGAAACCTCGCAGGCGGCCCAGGAGCCAAGGCAGCCCAAGAGATACCCCCGCCAAATGCGGCCCAAGCCAGCCACAAGAAACCCCCCAGACGGCCCAGGAAGGACCCAGGACAGCCCAAAAGATACACCTCCCAATGCGGCCCAAGCCAGCCCCGAGAAACCACCCAGGCGGCCCAGGAGCCAAGACAGCCCAAGAGATACCCCCCCAAATGCGGCCCAAGCCAGCCCCGAGAAACCACCCAGGCGGCCCAGGAGCCAAGACAGCCGAAGAGATAACCTCCCCAAATGCGGCCCAAGCCAGCCCCAAGAACCCCCCCAGGCGGCCCAGGAGCCAAGACAGCACAAAATATTACCCCGCCAAATGCGGCCCAAGCCAGCACCGAGAAAACCACCCCCAGGCGGCCCAGGAGCCAAGACAGCCCAAGAGGGAACCCCCCAAGGAACTGCGGCCCAAGCCAGCCCTGAGAACCCCCCCCCTCCCAGGCGGCCCAGGAGCAGGCTGCCTGCAACAAGACCCAGGAAGGACCCACCAAGAGCTCCAGACCCACAATGTTTTTTTGTTTTCATAGCGCAGACCCTCAGGGTTCTCGACCCATTCCCCGGGAGCAATTTATTGTCCCGAGCCATTTTTCGCTGGCCCCGCGAGACCTGGGAAGGGGCCCCCCGGAGGCCGAAAATAGTGAAGACCCGTGGGTCGCGTTTTTGTCATGACTCGAGATCATCCACTTGTGATCCCGACGGTGTGATCATCCAGTTTGTGTCGTGTCTCCAGTCCACATGAGATCGTCCAATGATGGTCCCGACGGCTTCGCACCGCGGGAGGCCGGACGAGACTGCCGGGAGGGAAGGCATGCCTCTCAACGGAGCAGATGTTTGTCGCCCGGGTTGGCTTTCGCCCAGGTTCGCTTTCGCCCGGGTTGGCTTTCGCCCGGGTTCGCTTTCGCCTGGGTTGGCTTTCGCCCGGGCTGGCTTTTGCCCGGGTTGGCTTTCGCCCGGGCTGGCTTTCGTTCGGGTTGGCTTTCGCCCGGGCTGGCTTCCGCCAGGAGTGTACACCCCCTGGCGTGCCGCGCGGAGGTGCAGCGCGAGAGGGAGAGCTCGAGGTGGGCCTCGACGCCAAGTTGGAAAACGCTGAAACCGCCCAGGCGTCAACAAAACAACCAAAAACGCCAAGGCCTACATCGGGTCTGGCGCCGGAGGGGAGGAGGAGGAGGAGGAGGAGGAGGAGGAGGAGGAGGAGGAGGAGGAGGAGGAGGAGGAGGAGGAGGAGGAGGAGGAGGAGGAGGAAGAAGAGGAGGAGGAGAGGAGGAAAGAGGAGGTGGAGGAGGAGCCCAGGCCCAGGCGAGGCATGCCCTGGCCCACCCCCGCGCGCCACTGCAGGCCACGGCCCAGGCCCAGGCGAGGCATGCCCTGGCCCACCCCCGCGCGCCACTGCAGGCCACGGCCGGCGCAAGCGCCCGGCCAGCGCCCCGCACGCCCCCCACCCAAGGGGGCCGCGGCCCGGGGCGAGCTGGGCGGCCAAATGCGGCACGAGGAAAGGTGCCTCGGGAGGGGCCGTCTGCGGCCGTCGGAGGAGAAGGCATGCCAGCAGGAGGAGAAGCAGGTGGAGGTGGAGGACAAGAAGGAGAAGATAGATGGGAGAGGACAAAGAGGAGAGAGGAGCGGGAGGAAGAGGATGCGGAGCAGGCGGAGGCGGAGAAGAATGAGGAGGTAGAGGAAGAGAAAAAGGAAGATGAAGATGGCGAGGAGGAAGAGGATGAGGATACGGAGGTAGGAGGAAGGAAGGAAGACGCAGAGAGAAGGAAAGGGAGGCGGAGGGGAAAGGGAAGCAAAGGATAAAGAGGAGGGGGAGAAGGGAGAGGACACGGAGGAAGGAACAAGGGTGACGATAACAAGGAGTAGGCGGCGGCGGAGAGAAGGAACATGTACAGGAAAAGGCCTCTGACGAGAAGGAGGAGGAAGGGGAAGGCACATAGGAAAATGACGACTACGACGAGCGCTGGAGTTGAGCGCGCTCAGCCACGGAGCCCACATCGGATAAGAAAAATAAAAAAGGTGAGGAGGAGGAGGAGGAGGAGGAGGAGCAGGAGCAGCAGCAGCAGAAGGAAGAAGACGAAGAAGAATAAGAAGAAAACAAAAAAAGAGATGCGGACGGAACGCCTGCCTGGCCGTGCCCCCCACGCGAAGCGGTGTGCATCACAGAGCGCACTGTTCTGGCCGCGAACGAGATCTGGATCACCGTGCCGATCACTTTTCCCAGCACAACCCCGTTGAGCCGCGCGAGCGTGATCCGAGCGCTCGCACCCGTGTAGGTGTAGATCACGAGGCTAACGGTCGACGCGGGCGTTGAGGCGTACGACGGGAAGATCTTCCAGAGACCGACCCAGCCAAGCATGAACGTGATGCAGATCGAGCACGCTAGAAGAAGGAACAAACCACACAAGCACATCAACGTTCGGAGACCCATACAGTCTTCTCGAACCAGTGCTGGACCCCCCTAACGGCGCCTCCGGCGCCGCCCCTGGCGTGCTCCGCGCACCAGGGAGAGGGATCCAACGCCGATCCAATAAATCCGTGCCGACCTCTGGAAGTTTATGCGTCTGCAACTTTCTCTTCTTCGACATGTGTTGCGCAGGACGAAGCGGGGGTGTGTCACAGAGCGGTCCACTTGCATCCCGAAGTGCAGATACGTGCTCCGGGCGAAGTGGCGCAAGCGCTCGCGGAGCCCTGACAGACGCTGACGCTGAACGCTCGTCCTGAAGAGACTGTCGACGGCCCGTGCAACATCTGAGAGAACCCCGCAGAGCATGAACATGAAGGCGCAGGCTTCAGGAGAGAGGTCCCGACGAGTGGCCACGAAGTCCGCAGAGACCCGCTCCGAGAAGTCCTCCGCAGCGCAGTCCAGCCCCTGCTCCTCTGGCGCTCCAGTGCAGGCGCCGAGGAGGAGACTGCGCGCACCCGTACAGGCCACCTGCAGAGAGTCGAACCCCTCGAGGACCTCCCTGTCCTCCTGTGAGAGAGCAGCGGCAGCATGCAGCAGCCCCGGCACGTGTCGCGAAGCTGTCAGCAGACACTTTCCGACCGCCGTCAGTCTGCGCCTGCGCACCGCCCGAGCCCCTTGCCCCAGATCCTCGAACCAGGAATACTCCAGGTTCTCCTCCATGAGCACACGTGTGGCCGCGGTCTCCGCCAGCGCAAGCGCAATCTTCTGGCGCGTCAGCTCTTCCGGGGTCCGCGGCAATGCCTCGAGCACCATTGCCACGGTCTCTGATGCTTCCACCGCCTTCTCCTCTGCCATGATGAGGGCCCTGCGCCGACGCGAGAAGAGGACGCACATCACTGCTGCGCAGGATCCCCCGAGGATCAGCACTACATAACAATCTGCTGAGGTGGGAAAGGTACCAAATGCATCCACCTTGGGGTTCACAAAAGACATGATGAAGTAAACGTGCGTCGAGAGGGCAAACGTCCGAGTGTTGTTGTCGAAGTTTACAGCCAGAACCATGACGACGACGAGGACGAAGTCCAGCAGCGTCACACAGAGCTTGACGGCGCCAAGAAGGCTCAAGCGGTGCCACCATACTGAGCATCGCTTATCCGACCCCCACCCCCAGCGGCGAGGCCTGGGCCCCACTGGCCGATTTACCCCCTAGATAGGGATATAGGCCGTTCCCTTCGGGTTTCGACGGGTGCACCCCCAAGTGGGGTGGTAGTTTGGTGGGGGGCTCGTCGAAGGGGATGAGGATGGGGACGGGGCTCGGTTGAACGATACTGACATACGCCCCCGGCAAGGCAACTGTACCCCAGATCGTGGGCCTGCGTCCAGTAGTAGCTGCACAGCGGCAGCCAACCGCCGGGCATCTCCCGCCTGTCTGCGTAGGCACCCCCGCGCAGCAGGGCGTTGAGCACGAGCACGTTCACGTCGGCAATGGTCGGGGAGACGTAAGACTCGGGCACAGTCGGGGCAATGACCTAAGGAACCCTAAATATGTAAGGAACGAGGCCCCTGTTTCCCATAAGTTAAACTTCGACTTCCCCTGGAAAACTGGAGGAAAGCCTGAGGCAAACTGTCAAACAATCAAGGAACACCGAGCCCCTCCCCAACGAAAAGGGTTCCTTCTTCAGCGCCCCGACTGTACCGTGGACTCGGGTTGGCCTGACGGGGTCGTCATGAAAATGACGAGGCCCAATCTGAAATTTGACGCGAGATCCCACTGTAAATATCCCACGACAACAGGACCGTCAAAATCCAGGACGCGCTCGTCAAAACACGTCAGCGAACCAGAGCTCTGGCTCACTCGAGTCTCACGTCTCCCCGAAATAGACGTCCCCAGGACCCCCTGGATGGTGAGCTTCATGGTGCTGCCCAGATTCCAGTAGACAGAATACAGGTACTGAAGCAGCATAGATGCAGGAGCAACAAAAAGCACAAGCATGAACTTCTGGAGCCCCGAGCGGAGTTCTTGGATCGGCGATGGGCCCCCCCTCCCTGGCCCGCGGAGCGCGCCAGGGGCGGCGGTGCGGCGACGCCGACAGGGGGGCACAGCGCAGATCCAAGAAATCAGCGCGGAGCTCTGAAGACTTATGACTGTGCCGTCTTTGCTTCTTCGAGTGGTCGGGGGCGGCCCAGAGGGGGGTGTCCGTGAGGGGTGTGTGCAAGTCATGGCCAGCGGCACGTGCGCGACAGAGGGGGGGGGGCGCCAGGAACGCATTGAGATGAGAAGAGGCGCCATGAGATCTGGGGAGATCTCATGGCCCCCGCCATGATATCCCCCCCCCAATCATCACCCCCCTCTTCGCCGCCTCCGAAGTGGAGCCGAAACCCGCCATCCGGAAGCCCGAGCCCGCCAGGGCGTCCCCCCACGGCCAGACGAGCACCGGCAGCGAGAGGGCCACGGTCCTCGGCGCCAGAAGAGCAGGAAGAGTGGCGCGCCGCCGAGGGGAACCCGTCAGCGTGCTATTGCTCAAGACACACCGGGCCAGCGGACAGAAACGAAGGAGTGACACGCTGGAGCGCGTCTCCTTATTTTCCGCGATAATGGGCATTATAGGGGAGGGGAAGGGCCAGGGGGGGAGGGGCGTTCCGTTATGGGGTGGGGAGGGGGGCCGGGGCCGGTGGCCATAATGCCTACTATGCCCCATGCTGTAAAGAAACACGCTCCTGACGGGTTACTAACGACAGCGTGTCATCGATACCCGGTGTCCCTCCCGAGGTCCAGGAGGCGGCCGCGCAGGCGAGCCAGAAGTCCAGCGAGAAGGTGCGCCGCGAGAAGGCGGCGTCGCGCTGGCCCTTGCTGCCATGAAGGGAACGGGCCCTGGGGGAAAAAGGGGGCCGACTCGTGAGACATTCCACCGGGATCACTGAGCAGTTCCTCATCCTGGGTGGTTTTGTGACGGTCCCGGGACCCGGGGAGGGCCCTGAGAGCCCTAGAGAATTGAGGAACGACTCAGGACCCGCTGCCCCGACCCTGAGATCCGATGACGAGAAACAAGTTGCAACATCGTGGGAAATCGCTACCAGAGGCCAAGACCCCAACTCTCTGCTGCATTTTCCGAGCCAGATCGACCTGTGAGGGTCCGGGCGTCCGAAGTCGGACGAGCACGTTGTGAAATTGTCCTGGCGAATAACCCAACCATATGCAATTGTGAGCACCGCGTTGTGGGTACCGCTTCGGTGAAGGTCCCCTTGGGGCAACGAAACGCGTGAGGGGTGTGCTGTCATGGGTGGGGGAGGCGCATGCGGTCGCGGCTTTTTGGGGCCTTCGGAGGGGCTCCCTATGGACCCACGAAACGTGTGACGGGTGACCGGGAACAGGTGTATGCCGAAATGATGCGGGGGGGCGCATGTGAACCCTGCCACTGGGGCCTTCGGAGGACCTCCCTATGGACCCACGAAACGTGTGAGGGGCGTGCTGACATGGGACGGTGGAACGCATGCGAACCCTGCCAGTGGGGCCCTCGGAGGAGCTCCCTATGGAGCCACGAAGCGTGTGAGGAGTGTGCTGGCATGACGAGGGGGGGCGCATGCGAACCCTGCCACTGGGACATTCGAAGGAGTTTCCTATGGGACCACGAAGCGTGTGAGGTGTGTCGCTTGTGTGTGAGAGTGTTTTTGTGTGTTTGTGTGTATGTGTCCGTGTATGTGTGTGAATATGTGTGTGAGTGCGTGTGCGTGTGTGTTGGACCGGAGCAGAGCCAGCACCCCCAGCCCCGCTTGGGCTCACAGCCCCCCGCGGTCCTCCCAGCAAGCGGCAGCCTCCAGCACGGCCGGTGGTACCCCCGCCGGCGCTGCCCTCCCGCACACCGACCACCAGGGCGCCACGGCGAACAACGACACCGTGGACCGCTCGCCGGCGGACTCCCCCCCTGACACCTCCCGGTCCCCCCCACCCCGCCCCGCAGCAACGCCCCGGACTGGAGCCCTCCCGCCCACGTGCTCACCACCACCACCGAGCCCCGCGCCCCAGGACGGTGGGCCTGCGCCGCCCAGCCCCCGCGGCAAGCCCATCGCGGAGGCGGGGCGACGGGACAGCAGCCGGCAAGGGGACAGGCCTTCCAGGCGGAGAAGTCCGACGGCGGGCCCACGCCCGCCGAGACCCCTGACGAACCTGCGCGCAGAACCCCACGGACCGTGGAGCGCGCCCCTCCCGCCCAACCCCCACAGTAGGGACAGGAGGAAGCCAGCGCCTCATGCGGGCGCGAGCGGCAGGCGTACCCGCCCGACCGCGCCCACCGTACGGCACACCTGCCGGCCCGCTACACTCGTCACCACAACCCCCACGACTCGCTGTACAACAAACCCCGCCAGGCCATTTCGTGGCACCCACTGTGGAACTACGTTGCCAGAAGGGAGGAGCACTGGCCTGAGGTCGTCAACCGCCTCACACGGGAGGAGCGATTATCTTGCAGCTGGTGCTGGTCACTCTTGGATTTCGGAGCCGACGGGCGCTGAGGGCAAGTTTCGCTGGGGCCCGCCACCTTTGGCATTGCTGAAAGACTCTCTCGGGGAGGCATCTAAGCCGCCCCAAGCAGCGGCGCTGCGAAGCGTCGGGCAACGCGGGGAAGGCAGAGACGGGGCGAAACCGTGAGCGCACCTGAATCAAAACCGCGCGATGCGCCAGAGCAGACTACATCAAACCCATACAACTATCAAGGCAGCCTACGTCAAACCAAGTTCCTCTCCTCCACCTTCAAGTCATCCAGTGCCTGAAGCTCCGCTGCGACCAGCGGCGCCCGCGCCCCCAGGGCGACCGCGCGCGGCGGGAATGCCCGCAAAAGACCGGGGGTTCAACGCAACGCCTGCGTTCTGCGGAAGGGGGGCCATTGAGATTTCAACCTGCGCGCGTTGTTCGGCACCTCGGCCATCCTCGGCCCCTTGCAGTATCTGCTTTTCGAGACACTCTGAAGACAATATGGCATCGCCAATCTCCGCTTGGCTTTCCAGGGGGCTTTGCAGTCCGGCCCGTCCAGGGCATCTTCCCTGTTGGCGCGCGAATATCAACGCGCCTCCGCGTCTGCTCGGCTTTGGCCAGACCTCGCGCAGGGGTCTCAGGCAGTTGCATGGCCCAGCCTCTGGCGCGACCAGCGAAGCGGAACGCGCGAATTCCAGCTGGAGAGACCGCGGCACTCAGCGGCCGCGCGAACGACGCCTCTCTCGGGGCAACAACGAGGTAGAAGGGGCTTCGGCTGACATGCGAGATCGGCATCGCAATCTATCGAGGCGCAGGGCGAACGACGCCGGGGTGCTCATCTGGCGTCCGAAGCCAATGGGCGCCGCTGGCGAAAAACGCGATGCATAGAAACATCCAGTTCTGAGCTGGCGGCGCCGGCACAACGCCCGCGGAGTATCTTATCATGAGAAACCAAGGCCGAACGGGAGTAGGTGTAAGTGTCTGATACCTGAAAACGGGAGTGCGGCCCCACGCTAGTCATCGGGTGGAATATCCTCCGTGACCACGGGGCAGGGCGCCGAAGGGGGCCGCATACGACCCCGAAGACAAGGACCAGATCTGCGAAGACTTCGTAACCCAGCTCATCGACGAAAACTTCGACATCCGCAACCTGGGCCGGAGACTCAGCGTCAAGGTCAACTGGCAACGAGCATGGGACAAAGAGATCCAGAAGAGGGAGCGCCTCTCTGGGCTCGGCAAGGGCAAAGGGAAAGGCTCACAGCCCTCGGGAAGGCAAGCGCCGCGCCGACTCAGCCTGGCCCAGCAACGGGCACTCCAAATCCCAGGGCACCCGGGCCGGCCCCAGCTACGCAGCAGCGTCAGCCTCGACACGCGCTCGAGCCGCTGCTCCCCCACGCCGCAGCCGGGCGCTGGCGTATCCCAACTGCCCCGTGCTCCCTTACCCGTGCCCGCTCCCTACCCCCCACCTGGGGCTGGGCCGCATCCCACTTTCTCTAACAGTGCACCAGTTCTGTGCCCCCCCACGCCCCACCTGCGTGCCCCCCCGGGGACGCCGTGGTGGCTTCCCCCCCCGCCACTGGTGCGTTTCTCGCCCTGCACCCCTACGCCCTTGGCGCACGGTGTCCGCTGGACTGCCCTGACGTGAGGCCGCCCTCCCTCTCGCCCCCGCCTGTGCCGCTGGTCTCGATGCTGGCCCTCACTGCTCGGGCCGAACGCCCTTCGCCCGCCGCGTGGCCTCCAGCTTTCTCTTGCCCGCTAATCCCAGCCGGCGGCGGCCCAGCTGGCTCCCTGCTCTGTAGCGTCGCCCAGCTTCTTGCCTCGCCAGCGCCCAGGCCTCCTACGGGGACCCGCGCTCTCCGCCCTGCTTTTCTCGGCCCTCCAGCGGCGAGGCCCACCTTCTGCTGACTGTGCACCAGCTCGGTGTCTCTCGCTCCCCACCGGCCCTCGCCCTCGCGACGGGCCTGCCTCCCGGCCCTCCGGCCGCGCCCCCCCGTGGCTCGGGGTGCTGGGCTGGCCTTGCCGCCCGCGCCCCCCCCCCTCCGCATCCCCGCCTTGCCTGGCTTCCAGGCCGAACCCCTCACCTGGAGGAGGTTTCGCACTGCACCGCCTCGGCTGTTCCTCGCTTTTTGGCAGCACGCGGACCATGTGGGCGGCCCGATACCCCATGGGCCCGGGGCTCCCGTTCGCCCCCGCCTTCGTCTCTCGTCCTGGCTGCGCACTGGCCCGCGACTTGGCCTCTGCCCGCGGACTGCCTCGGCGCCTCCCTGCGCGCCAGGCGCCTCCCCCCCTCCTCTTCTGCCTGGCCCCGCCCGCGCCCCGGCTCCATGCTGGGTCTCCGCACTCTTTGCCCTTTCTCCCCAGCCCTATCGCTTCGGGGCCTTCGTCTACCAACAGTGCACTGCAGTTCGGTGTCTCTCGCTCCCCAACGACCCTCGTTCTTGCGGCAGCCCTCCCTTCCGGCCCTCCGGCCGCGCCCTCCCCTCGCCCGGGGGCCCTGGCCTGGTCCTGCCGCCCGCGCCCCTCCCCGCCCCCGCCTCCGCCTTGCCTGGTCTTCAGGCCGACCCCTCACCCGGAGGCGGTTTCGCACTGCACCGCCTCGGCCGCTCGCTGCCCCGGCAGCTTGCTCAGGTCACGTGGCTTCTTTCCGCGTTCGCCTTCGTCTCCAGCCTCGGCTGGGCACTGGCTCCTCGCTACGGCCTGCTGCCTTGTAGCCTGCCTCGGCGACCCCCTGGCTCCCTTGCCGCCAGCCCGCCGCCGCTCGTTCCCGCCCCCCCCCCCGGCGCCGCCCCCGCCGCGCGCCTGGCCCCGCTCTGAGCGGGCCCGGCTTCCTCCTCCCTCCCGCCGCCGCTGGGCGCCTCCTCCCTCCCCCTTCTGCATGCTGGCAGAATTCACGTTTTGTGCACCTACCAGCGCCCTATCGCCAGCACAGTGACTCTGCCTAGCCGCCGACGCAAAATGTGTGTGCGTGTGTGCCAAACTGGGCGGGAGGACCCATGTAAACTCTGCTACTGGGGCCTTCGGACGAGCTCCCTCTGGGGCCACGAAACGTATGAGGGATGTGCCGACATGGGGCCTTCGGTGGAGCTCTTTATGGACCCACGAACCGTGTGAGGGTTGTGCCGAAATGGGGCGGGGGGACGCATGCGAACCGTGTCACTGGGGTCTTCGTAGGAACCCCTATATGGGGCCACGAAACTTTTGATGAGTGCGCCGAAACAGAGACATGCGGAGGGCAGAGGCAAGGGATGGGAGGAGGAGGGCGAGGAGGAGAGGAGAGGAGACGCGGGGCGCTCTCTTCCAAACGAGGCCCAACACCACAGGATGGCTGGACAATGTGCACCCAGATTTATGTCGGGCATGTTCCCCTACAGGGGGATTTTCGACGAAAAATAAAAGGTACCACATTTTTTTTTTACAACAAAAAAACATAGTCCCCAGACTAATTTTGGACGATTTTTGGACTATTGTTGGGGTATTTCTAATTTTTCGTCGAAAATCCCCCTGTAGGGGGACAGGCCCGACATAAACCCAGATCTCAAGGGAGGACCCGTTGGCTTCATGGTGACCTTGGAATAGCCCAGGATGGCGCAGTGCCGGACCCCGGCTGTTTGCGAGCAGGTCTCCACATCTCGGGCCCTGCCGCGCTCTGCACGTACGGCTGGCGGCGCGCAAAGGGTCGTGGGCTCGGGGGGGCGGCCAACAGCAGGAAACAACCCACACGGCGAGGTTAACACGCGGGACATCCGAAGGTCACGCGCATCCGCGAAAGCCTGGTGCACACGATGAGAAGTCCTGATCTGAGCAATCTTGTGGACCATTCTTCGTTGATCTTTGGATGTCCTAAGGTGCGGGACTGGAAAATGACCACAACCACTGCTTCTTGTTTGCGCCACCTTCCAGCTGGCCGAAAAAGAAGCAGTGGTCGTGGTCATTTCCCTGGTGCCAAGCTTAACGAAAATGACCACAGCCACTGCTTTGTTTCTGCCGGGTGGAAGGCGGCAACAACAGAAGAGCAGTGGCTGTGGTCGGTGCCCCGAGCTTCTGAGGGTCCCTGGGGATCCCCGGGGGCGTTCGGGGGCGCCTGCTGGCGGGCCGATGTCCTCTCTGACGCCCCATGCGGCACCTGGCCACAGGAGGGGCCGGGCGCTGGGAAAACGTCCGGCCACATCGCCCAGGCCGACCGCGCGTGCATCCAGCTCTCGCTCGGGCCAGCCACGTCACGTACATCCAGCTTCCGCGCAAACACGGGCCTCCTCGCGTCGCGAGCAGCAAGCATCAAGGCCGCTGACGCTCCATCGCGGGGTGAAAGACTGGTCCCTGGGAAAGGGGTCGAGACCTCCAGGGACGTCGATTTCTTTGTTTTAATCATCAAATCAATTTTATTCTTAATCATAATAACAGTAATAATACGACTAATAGTAATGTCAATAAGAATACTTAGTCTAATAATAGTTGATGATAGTGTACACGCAAACAACAAAAACATAAAAACAAAACAAACACGGCGTCGGGGGCCTGGGAAAGGTCGGAGGCGTCTAAGAGGGCTTCTCCGAAGAGCGGGAGGGCCTCCAAAGAATCCCCCTGCCTTCCTATTCGAAGGCCGCCCCTCACCCTCGCCCCACGCTGCTTCACAACGTCGACGCGCGGATGTCCCGACCTATGCCCTGGGACCGGCTTCTCCCCCCGAGTGCGGCCCAGGGGCCCGGCAAGAGGCCCGCGGAGCCGACAGGGACCCAAGACCGCCCGCCTGGACTAGAAGTTGCAAAATCCACCCCCAGAAGAAGCACCCCGACGCGCGAAGTCGCTTAGTAAACGCGCCCAAAACAGGAATCGAATAGGGCAGGGCTGTTTCGTAAACGCCCAAGGCCGTTTCGTAAACAATTGTCTGGACCGGGTGGTCTTTCCTCCGCGGGGTCTTGGGCCCGGGGGCCCATGCTAAATCCCCCCGGACCTTTCTGGGGGTGCGCTCTGGCCAGGATCTTGAAGCCGATCCAGCCGTGGCAACGAGGGTTCGGTCGGGCGTGTCCTCCTACAGGCGGATTTTGGACGACAAAACTACTCAACCTGCCCCGCGCTTAGTCGGAATTGAAAGATTGAGCCCGCGGCCACCCCGCACTCAGGGTTACAGACGACTACTACTACTACTACTACTACTACTACTACTACTACTACTACTACTACTACTACTACTACTACTACTACTACTACTACTACTACTACTACTAACTACTACTACTACTACTACTACTACTACTACTACTACTACTACTACTACTACCACTACTACTACTACTACTACTACTACTACTACTACTACTACTACTACTACTACTACTACTACTACTACTACTACTACTACTACTACTACTACTACTTACTACTACTACTACTACTACTACGACTACGACTACTACTACTACTACTACTACTACTACTACTACTACTACTACTACTACTACTACTACTACTACTACTACTACTACTACTACTACTACTACTACTACTACTACTACTACTACTACTACTACTACTACTACTACTACTACTACTACTACTACTACTACTACTACTACTACTACTACTACTACTACTACTACTACTACTACTACTACTACTACATAATAAGCAACATCATTATAATAACAACCCTACTCGCCAACATCATCATCATCATCATCATCATCATCACCATCATCATCATCATCATCATCATCCGTAGCCATTTTGGCTCAAGGAGCCACGCGGTGTGGCAGCGGTGCCCCGGTCTCAAGCGACCGCATTTTACGAACACGGTCTGCTTTACGTTATTATCCCTTATCCCCTCGAATCCCCTGGTCAGAACGCGCCCCGCAGACCTGGGCCTCTTCTTCTCGCGGCTACATCTACGGCTACATGCCCTGGTCGCCAGCCCCCTCCTCCTCCTGCCCCGTGGGGGGAGGAGGCGACGATGACGACGACGACGACGACGACGACGACGACGACGACAACGACGTCGTCGTGGGGGGCAGGGGAGAGGAGGGAGGAGAGGGGGGGGGACGCTGGCCCTACCCATAGGCGTCGGAAGGCTCATAATTTCATGGTGGGCGATGGCCCGTCGCCTTCCTCCCCCTGCTTGTTGCTGTCTTCTCGGGGCCTCCAGGCACTCGATGGGTCCACGAAGCTCCAGGGCCCTTTCTTCCTCTTATGGGGGGCGGGCAGGGGCCCCATAATAAGGCCCTGGGGGTCTTGGTGATTCTGCGAGGGCCCCTCCTTCTCTACTCTATTTGCTATTTTCTTTTTCGCTTATGTTCCATATGCTATATCATTTGCCCTTGCCCTCGCTCCTCTCCGTTCGTCCATTCGGTTCATTCGGATCCTGCCGGGCCTTCGCGGCAACGCAGGAGGTGTGCAGTGGTACCCATGCAGTCGTTCGTCCCAGATGAGTCGGCATCGCGCCATCGTCGTCGCCGCGGCTGGATTCCATTCGCCTCGAAATAATGTTGGCCCTGTCGCACCCTGGGGTAAGTTTTGGGCGCGGCCGCATCGGTATCTCAGTATCTCAAGCAGCTCCCCCAATCCCTCCCCATCCATCCCCCCTCCTCGCCCCTCTCCCCCCCCCTCCCGCTTTATCCACTCCTTCAACAACTGTTGTACTCCACTACATCCAGGTCATTACCATCCTTACCATCATCATCATCGTCATCATCAGCATCGTCATCATCATCACCATAATCATCATCAACATAACATCATCATCACCACCACCATCATCATCATCATCCTCATCATCGCCATTCTCATCACCACCATCATCATCCTCATCATCACAATCATCCTCATCATCACCATCATCATCAGGGACACCAAAGGACACCGCGCGGAACCGCTCGCCGGGGACACACTTTCACATGTCCGACCGTCTGTAGCCGTTCTTGCACCCTTGCATCCTTGCGCCCGGGGACGAAACAGGCATCCTTGCATCCTTGCCATCCAAACAGGCGTCGTTGCATCCTTGCATCCATGCATCCACCTCCTCCTGTGTCCGTATCTATTTCTATGTCAGGGCTCAGAGTTCTGCGCCCGCCATTTTGGCATCGTTCAGTTTTGTTGCCTGCATGGCAACTTCCGTGGAGGATTTGTTGTGCTATGATATCATGGAGGGGTGGCGGCGTTCCGCAAGGTCGGTGCTCTCAGAGTTCGGCGTTGTGCCGCACAACGTGTCTTTCGAACGGCAGCGGCAGGATCACATCGCCCGCACCAGTGGCATCAGGTTGGAGGATTGCAACGACTTATGGGAGTTCTGCCGCAAGAAGCGGCAGATGGGGATAGGCTGGAGGCCCCTCGGGCAAACGGCCTGGCAGTACGCGCAGTGCGTGGACTTCGTGGATTGCTGGCTCTTCGCTGATGGCACTTCGAATGCGGAGACATCGACGCCGCTCCAGATCGGCCAACCTGGCGTGTGGTGGCCCGTGGTTGTGGGACTGCCGTACCCGACGCCGCCCGACTGGCTCTTTCCTTACGCGTGCCCAGCTCTCGCCAATGGTGGTGGCCGCAGGTGCTGGCTGGCCCACGTCAGCCGCCTGGCGAGGAGTGCGCCGACGCCGAGTGCGGCGCCTCCGAGTGCCGTCGTTGCTGCGGGGTCGTCGAGCGCGGCGCTGGACTCCAAAGGAGGTGGCGCCGCCGACGAGACCCCTTCGAGTGCCCCCTCGGCTGCGACTGCGGCGCCGTCAAGTTGTTCGGCCGCGCCCTCCAGCGACATCGGCTGGGCGGTGCCGTCCGAGTTTTCGGCGCGTTCGGCCTCAGCGGAGGCGTCTTCTTCTTGGGCGCCCTCCAGCGGTTGGTCGGTGACCCCGCCGGCGCCCATCATGCCACAGCCTGGCTCAGCGGCGTCGGAAGCGTCTTCTTGGGTGCCCTCCAGCGGTGGTTGGTCGGTGACCGCCGTGGCGCCCACCATGCCGCAGCCTAGCTCAGCGGCGGCGTCGGTTGCGTCGTCTTCTAGTGGCGGCAGCAGCGCGGGGCGCCGCCGCAGGAGGTGGGGCCCGCGGCGCTCCGATGATGAGCCCTCGGGCGAGTCGGATGAGCATTAATTGGCAGAGGTGCAGAGGTCGAGGGCGGGGTAATAATAATAATAAGTAAAGGCGTGGGCATGGGGGGGGGGGGGAGGAGGGAGGGGCAAGTAGAGGGGGAGGGGCGGGGTAGCAAGTAGAGGGGGAGGGGCGGGCCATGGGAGGCGCGGGACGATACGCCCTCGACCCTCGCCGGACGGAATTTTGGGATTTTCCCGGCCGCGCCCTCGAGGACTTGGAGCCTGGAGCTTGAGCGCGCCGAGTGCAGCCCAGCATAATATTATTCGTAAGTAAGTAGGTGACAGACGTCGGCAAGTAGGCGCCAGACGTCGGCAATAATAGGGTGCCATTCGTGCACTCCCGAGTTTGTAATTAAGTACCAGACGTCGGCAAGACGCTACCAGACAGCACTGTGCAGACTCTTCTACCAGACAGCAACGTACCGCAACCCCGTCGTCGTAGTCGTAGTCGTCGTCGTCGTCGTCGTCGTCGGCGTCGGCGTCGGCGTCGGCGTCGGCGTCAGCGTCGGCGTCGTCGTCGTCGTCGTCGTCGTCGTCGTCGTCGTCGTCGTTGTCGTCGTCGTAGGGGGTGCGGTACGTTGCTGTCTGGTAGC